GGTTAATAGATTAAATTGCCGTTAGAGCTATAGTTACTATAACTATAACATGATAAGGTTAATAGATTAAATTGCCGTTAGAGCTATAGTTACTATAACTATAACATGATAAGGTTAATAGATTAAATTGCCGTTAGAGCTATAGTTACTATAACTATAACATGATAAGGTTAATAGATTAAATTGCCGTTATAGCCATAGTTACAACCAATGTAAATTTTGAAACTTTTTGAAATATTTTTATCATATTTTGTACATTCATAACAATCCACGTGAATATTACAAGTTTAAGATATTTTAAAACTTTAAAAAGCACAGTTTTCTTATTTCATTTATTTCTTATTAAACGTATTGGATTGAATTAGAGTACAATATACTTAGTTAATATACGGACGTACTTTTATAATTATGTTAATTTCTATCGTATCGTAGTTAACTTATACAGAGGGTTAACTGCGTTATATTAAAACGATGACATCTGCGGCCAGTATAAAGTTGTGGTGGAATGGCACGTATCAAAACTACGTTTTGGCATTGTTTGGTGTTATATAGGTATTGTGACGCTACCGAAAACTGATCACTCAGATTATTAAGATATTTCCAGATCGGGTATTTAGAAGTTCAAAGGTGAGAATAATCCTTGTACTTAATGTCATTGGAAAACAAAGGAATGGATCAACTTGGGAAATCAGACCAGGACCATCGAGAAAGAGATCTGCAACAAGTCGTGCTCCAGCCGTGATAACTAAAGTACGGCTACTTGTAACAGGTGATAATCTACGAACAAAAAGATCAGTGGCAACAGCACTCAACATAATCAAGAACGATCTCCTTCTAGAAAAGCGACACATGTCGCTTGTTCACAAGTTGCTTTCACGACATATCCATTCAACTGTCGCATACCTCAAGTTCCTGGAGTATGAAACTGATATTCATCATATTCATACTAATACATACTGATGAAGTGCTTAAGGATTTCTGTGCGATCGGACTGTTGAAATGGGCGCTGAGAAACCGTTGTCTTCGTACACTAGATGGCTTATGAAAAGCAAGCAGGAAGAACTGGTGTGCTTTGGATACGAAAGCCCTACGGCGAAGCCTCTTGCAATGCGAACTACGCTGCAAGGTGATTGTCAAGATGCACAGTCGTCAGATAGCGCATGAGGCCTCAAAATCATTTTGATATAACGTACTGATCCCAATTATTATCGTACAATTAAGTAATAGTTTTTGTCCAACAAACTGCTTTTGTTTATTAGACTGAATTAAAGAGTACAACACACTTTGTATATTTAGTGTAACAATTTATTTCAGTTTGTTTGTTTGGAATTAAGCACAAAGCTACACAATGGGCTATCTGTGCTCTGTCCACCACAGGTATCAAAACCCGGTTTCTAGCGTGGTAAGTCCGCAGACATACCACTGTGTCACTGGGTGGGTATTTGTTTCAGTCATTTACTTAAATGATATTGTTCTTAATTTTAACTCTCATTTTATGTAATATTTACATCACGAATTTCATTTGACATTTTGATCAATGCTAAAGAGAAGAACCTTCTGACGAATAATTACAAGGCAGTAAAAAAAGAGAAGTTTAGATGGGAGGGGGGAGGAGGTGGCATTGTATTCCACTATATCTTTACAGCACACACACACAGTAAAGGGGTGATCACTTGCCCCTCCTTTCACCACACAATTGGCATCCTTGAGTAATGTATTGTGTGATCGTTTTGTCGTACTCTATTCATTTCATATCCCAGTGCTTCTTAACAACATACTAGGTGACCAACATATGAGGTCCAAGGTTAACTCTCCAGTGTTGTAATGTGAATTGCTAATGATAATTCCTCGCTCTTCCGGAACTGAACTTTGGATTATTTGGACAGTAACATTTATTCTCCTAGGAATTTACCGTATAATGGAGAATACATGAAATCTTCTGGAGAGAAATACATTCTGTGATGAACCTGAAATGTAAGTATAAGTTATGAAAGATTTTGAAATTAACAGACTGTGAGTAACTTTGCTATGCAGCACCAAGTGTTTCAGGAGATGATATTCGTGCTACAAAAACATGACTAGCACAGTACATTGTTGTACCTTTATCAGTGATAACAAGATTGGTATTAAGTCTAATACCACAGATTAAATACGGATTTAAGAGATGATATTCGTGCTACAAAAACATGACTAGCACAGTACATTGTTGTACCTTTATCAGCGATAACAAGACTGGTATTAAGTCTAATACCACAGATTAAATACAGATTTAAAAAGGATCTGCTGTAACCGTCAGAACGTATTTGTGGAATGGACTATATAACTTCCATAATTGATTTCAAAGGGAAAGGATTATCAGAATTCGTCTTGTAAAATGAGTTATTGACAATGAATATACGAATTTCTTCCTTACACTGATCTCTTAGCAACAGGTCACATGCATTAACTTTACAAAGTGATGTCTTATGTTGATTTATTCTGCATGACGTTTCCTTAACGAGAAATTACATAATACATAAACATTTTTTACGTCATGCAATTCTATAAATACAAATTCTCGAATTCACAGTCTGGGCACGCTAACCATTAAGCCATGCCCGGCCTTAGTTATTTATGAGAGACAAGCATAAAATAACGAATACATAAATGCATCAAATAAAACAAAATCAATTATGTGGGTTTTATCTAATTTTTTTTATTCTTTCAAGTTGATTTATTTCGTTAAAAATATCTAAATATGCTAATTTTTATATGGAATGCTTCATTAATTTACTCTTTTATAACTGACTTTTGTGGATTGCATTTTCAACATGGTCCTCTAAAGACTGTCGCACGAATTTCCTTATTTAAAACAAAATCTGTACTATTTTGCGGGCATATTTACCAAGATCCCGTATTTTGAACAATCTGATACGAGGTGATCTTGAAACGATTAAGTAATTAAAATTTCTTTCATAAAATTAATCTTTAGATATATAACGTGTAAATTTACAACAACAGGAAATAAATACTTGAAACAACACTTATCTATTTAAACATCTTAGACGCTCAAAACTACGTCTACACATTTTCAAATCAGTGTTAAACTCTGGCACTTAGAGGGGTTCACAATCTGAGGGTCGCGAATTCGAATCCCCCTCCCACCAAACATGCTCGCCCTTTCAGCCGTGAGGGCGTTATAATGTGACGGTCAATCCCACTATTCGTTGGTAAAAGAGTAGCCCGAG